TGTGTGAACGGTGTTGTCTGTGCTGTGGTCAGTAACTGGAGCTGACCTCTGAGAGTCAGTCAGCAGAAACTCCCCGTGACCCGCTGCTCCTCGGCCGTGTCTTCATTCCTTCCTTAGCAGTCTCTTTCTCACTGTGCTTCATGTCGTTCTCCTGAAGAACAGCTCTGGAGATCTTAGATACATTAGAGGCACAGAGTTCTCTGAAGCATCATTTCCATCCAGTGCTCTTGACCTTCAACCACTCTCCTCTCTCTCTTTTCAGCCTCCTTTGTATTTGGACTGGAGAGTGCGTTGAAAAAGCTTTTCAATTCATTTTACTTCAATAACGGTCATTTTCAAATGAAAATGTAACAAAGAACATGTAGGGATTTTTTTTCTTTGGAGTAACATGTTCAGAGTAATCGTTCACATTCAGATGGGGAACATGTTTTAAAGTAAACAGGGTTCTTGTGATTTGCTGTTCATCAGATCAGTGTTTTGGGTTTTTAAAGCAACAGTACACAGATGTTTTTCTGAAGAACTGAAGGTGTAACGGGGATCTTATCGTGGATCATATCAGACACACACTCACACTGAACACGTCTGAGGCTCTTCACCTGTGCGCTGCCAGATTCTCAATGTAAACCATGCAGATGTGATCAGATGGCTTCCTGTGCCTGTGTTTTGTGACATGTTTGACTGTGTGCTGCCGTGTGTTGTGTGTAATGTGACGTGTGATGTACACCAGCTGGTCACTCGTGATTAGACATGTGCTGGTGATGCGATATATCACGATAATGAGCATGCACGATATTGTCATCGTGGGCACTTCACGATGTGTCAAATTATTCTGAATTTTGAATGCATTTTAAGAATACTTGCACAACACCGCTGTATGCTGGGTCACAGACGCATGCACTCTTTGAGGTAAACGAGCACGGAAGAGAAGCACACAGCGGAGCACGAGAGAGAAGCTCTGGAGGATAACACATTCACTCTCTGACAGCAGATGGCGCTGAGGAGCAGAAATGAAGCCGGAAACAAATCAGCTGCGCTACTTTCTGTTTCTGAAACATGTTTAAATGATTTAAACAGCCATTCAGATTTTTGTATTCGCTGTTCATCACAGCGCCAAATACTTACATATTTAGACTTAATAGGCTATTTATTTTCAAACTTTTTCGCATTTGAATCTGGACTACAACATGCCTAGATATTGTTTGAGTTGTATTGTTTGATTCTGTATTGTTCGGTCACACTTTACATTAGGGCTTCGTTAGTTTAATTCATTAGTCAATATAAACCGCCAATGAAGAATTCTTCAAAACATTCATTAATCTTAGGTAATTCCAATATTTAATAACACGTTTAAATCAGAAGTTGCAACTGTGTTATTTAATGAGCTAACATGAACTAAGAGTTGAGTTAAGTTAAGTTGAACAAAGATTAATAACTTCTGAAGCAAATGTAGCTATTGCTGATTGTGAATGTTAATGCATTAACTAAAGTTAACTAATGAGGTCTTATTGTAAAGTGATACCTATTGGTCTTTATAATTCTTTTGCACTTTAAGCTGTGTAAAAAATTTAACTTTATACATTGTATTGCTTTATCGTATTTAAATGTTCAGTTATTTTTGTTATAAGAAAAAAGTTATTAAACCTGTTATGCTGTATTATGACAACACTTTTTTGCAACTGAATTTCAATATCGCTATAAAACCGTATACTGTGATAAAAGCATTAGCAGTTAATCGCAACATGATGGTGATCCGGCCAGAGGACTCCAGTGAGACAGAACACATGGATCAGATGGACCAGAGCGTGATCATACACACATGCAGTGAAACACACTGGGTCTGTCCTGTGAGAAACCTCATCACTCAGAGCTGAGCGCGGCCTGTGCTTCACTCAACAGCACTAATGAAGGGGAGTCAGCGGGGTTTACCCTCGTCCCGCGGGGCTGCGGTCTGATGCTGAACGCTAAATCACTCTGCAGTGCAGATGTGTCAGAAACATCAGTGATTAAAGACATTCTTCACCATCGGCTGTGTGGCTTGATTACAGAGCGACTGTGATTCTGAGCAGGTCACCGACAGCAATGAAATCAATGAGTTTCTTCACGCAAACATCTGAAGACAAATGAGAGGGGCGGAAGGAGAGTGTGTGTGTGTGTGTGTGAGAGAGAGAGAGTGTCTCTGGAGTGTGTGTGTGTGTGTGTGAGAGAGAGAGAGTGTCTCTGGAGTGTGTGTGTGTGTGTGTGAGAGAGAGAGAGTGTCTCTGGAGTGTGTGTGTGTGTGTGTGAGAGAGAGAGAGTGTCTCTGGAGTGTGTGTGTGTGTGTGTGAGAGAGAGAGAGTGTCTCTGGAGTGTGTGTGTGTGTGTGTGAGAGAGAGAGAGTGTCTCTGGAGTGTGTGTGTGTGTGTGTGAGAGAGAGAGAGTGTCTCTGGAGTGTGTGTGTGTGTGTGTGAGAGAGAGAGAGTGTCTCTGGAGTGTGTGTGTGTGTGTGTGAGAGAGAGAGAGTGTCTCTGGAGTGTGTGTGTGTGTGTGTGAGAGAGAGAGAGTGTCTCTGGAGTGTGTGTGTGTGTGTGTGAGAGAGAGAGAGTGTCTCTGGAGTGTGTGTGTGTGTGTGTGAGAGAGAGAGAGTGTCTCTGGAGTGTGTGTGTGTGTGTGTGAGAGAGAGTGTGTGTCTGTAGTGTGTGTGTGTGTCAGTGGTGTTTTCTTCTCTCCCTCCTTTAAGCTGTATTGTATAAATAGCACATGCACCAGTGATGATGTTTTGTTCTCGTTTGTGATGTTCTGCCTTAGTTTCTCTTCTTTAATCACTTCATGTACTCTTTTGTCCTTGTTTCTTTTCACACTATATAATCCAGCATGATGCTCTTCATTAAGTCTGGGTGGGTTGTCACGGTAACAGCAGACACTAAATTAAAGGGCCGTAATTAGGTGTTTCACGTGTCGCTGTGTATCAGAGAATGATGCCTGTGTTCTCAGTGTGACGGCGCTCTGCTCTAAACATTTAATTTAGAGTCAAAGATGCACTGCTTTGGCTGAGTTTAAGTGACATTTAATGTGAAACACTACGAGATGTGTTTCTTCTGTTCAGTCGTTCATCTCTGAGGGCGTTCGCACAGAACACGGTTTTTACTTTTAAAAATGAGTTGAAAAAACAAGGTCTAGAGATATTCGAGATCCTGCGGGAGACACTGCAAAATACACCCGGTCAGATACACTCACCTAGTGCATCTTTATATAGAAAACAATGGAAAAGCAGCGGAGTGGAGCTCAAAAACATGATCCATTCTGCTGAAAGAGTCTCAAACCCCAAACGCTTGAGTTTAATCCATTTCTCAATTAAAACATGCTCATCATCTTCACCTCTGTTGTGTAACAGCGTGTGAATCTTGAGCTAAACTCGCACAGATCAGAGATTCATGGTTTGAAGCTCACCGGAGAGTCTTCTGCTCTATATCTCCTGAAAGGCTGTGATGTGAGTCCTCTCACGTCTCCCGTAAAGCCCTGCGTGTTTGTGCTGGACCGCTCTAATTATTATGCTGTTTGATTCAAATCCAGGCCCAGCTCTGTTTGTTTTCGCTCAAGAAGACATTCCACAGCAAACATCCTCTGCTTCTCATCCTGCGCTCTCATATGACAGAACCGCAGGAGCGTAATCCCCGCTCTTCCTTTGATTTCTCCATGTTGTCATTCACGATCTGGATTAGGCTCAGTTAAGAGGGAATATTGTATGTGTGATCAAACGCCAGAGGAGCGGGCGAGTGTGTCCAGAACAAACTTCACGCTGGACGCTCTTCGGTCTCCTGAGATCTCCTCTGAGGTGATGTGCTCCTCTTCATCAGCACCGCGCTGTTAAAAACTTCATAAAGACTGAAAGTCTGTCCTTCCCGCTCGAGCTGAAGAGCGCTGGCCGCTCCAGATATCCGTGTTAGCCTAAACCCTACCGCTGAGATTGCTTCATTAGAGCGGCTTCTGCTAATATATTAGTTCTCCGTGCGCTGTTATTTTTCCCAGGAACACAAGAAGAAATGTCACATACTCTTTTGCATGCAGCAGTTTGAAGACAGGCGTGATTCATTCGCTGTGTTCTGAATCTTCTGAAGACCTGCAGTTATTCTGACCAGAGATTCACGGATAATCTTTCCGTCCAGTTGAGAAAAGAAGTGCCCACTGAACTTGAGAAGTGAACCGGTGAATGAATCGTTCGTTCGAGCGCTGATCTGGTTCAGCTCGATGACTCGGTGTTCTGATCACAGCGTGAACTGAACAACTCTCTGGAGGGGAAGATTTTTGGTAAATCACTTACATGTACTAACATTTTCATCACACAACGACAATAACTTCTGAAGATTGGAATGATTTGGAAACTATTATGGCATGGCTTTGGACTGTGATTAAGAGCTGAAGATGAAGATTCATCAGCACGCGGATGACACGAGAGTGAGTAAACACTGACAGAACCTTCACTGTTTGGTGAATAACTCTCTCAGTCACACCTGTGTAAGAAAGCAGCTTCTCGTTGGGTTAATTTACCCACAGAACAACATGGTAAGCAGCTTGGTTCTGTGAGTATGAGTCCTTTTGTTAGCTCTTCTTGGACCTGAGGAGGTGCGTCTGTGATCGCTGCGAGCGGCTGACAGCAGCTTTGAACATGAACAAGACGTGTTCCTCGCCGCCTCCGGCTAGACCCAGACAAACTCCTCCATTCTCTTTGAGGGAAGCTTTGACATGCTTCACTTGATGCAGCTCTGAAGCTTCTGTAGGCCAGTGGAGTCCATCAGAGAGACCTGTAGATATTCCTTTGTAATTATTGTGCACATCATGCATTCACTTATCACTTTCCCTCATACATTCCTGTGAATTGAAGCCTGAGCTCTTGATGAAAACCGCTCATGTGGGAGATCCTGTCAGTTTCCTCAGAGCTTCAGTCGTGGCTCGTGTGCTGTCAGAGCGTTTAGTAATTCATCCACACACTCTCTCTCTGTGTCCTTCCTGATCATGTGCTTGCGTTGTTCTTTGCAGAATTGGATGTTTCTTAATCTCCTCATTTGTAAAAACGATCAGATCCTGAATCAGTTTGCAGACGCAGTCGTGGAGATTTCTCTGTGAAGACTGCGCTCACTTTCATCAAGACTCACAGCTGCGTTTGTCTCATTAGAGCAATAAAATGAGTGGCTTGTTTTCCCCATTGCTCTCCTCACTCATCACACCCTCTAAACATGTTTTCATCACATACATGAGACCGGAGGAGTTTCTTCTGTTCACTGTTAATACGGATGAATCCACTCAGTTCTGTGGCTTTCATTTACTGAGTGTTTATATGCAGTGTGAGTGTGAAGAAGTGCGGATGATCAATAGCTTATGTGATGTCTGCGTGATTTTGGTGTGTTTGTGTCATTTGATGTGCATTGATTCTTCTAGAATTTGCTTCATCATGAACGTTACATTTTTAGATGCTTCCTGAACTTCAGGTTTTACATACAATTGATAATTTCTCCATTTAAATAGAAGTTGTTCTGTCAAAATCTGTTTGTGAAGCTTTTGAATGGCTTTTTTTTTTTTTTTTAAGTAAGTAACATTTTCCAACCATGAGTGCATCAGTGTTTGATTAGTTCATGAACCTTCGCAGCTCTTCCTTACGGTGACTCTTCATAGTGACCACGGCTGTTAAAATGAGAAAAACACCATGACGGTCATCCACTACGTTTCAAGTATTTTACCCAGAAATTAAAATTAGCTCACCCTTAAGCCATCCTAGGTGTATGTGACTTTCTTCTTTCAGACGAATCTAATCGTAGTCATATTTTAAAACATCCTGGCTCTTCCCAGCTTTATAATGGCAGTTTATGGGTGTTATTTTTCAATAATACAAAAGAAGTCCAATAAAGGACATCCATCCATCATAAAAGGTGGCTCACACGGCTCCAGGGGGTGAATAAAGGCCTCCTGTATCTACCGAATCGATGAGTTTTTGTAAGAAAAATATCCATATTTAAAACGTTAGAAACAGAAATGTCTGGCTTCCATTAACGGTCATACACACATTCACACTAGAACGCTGTTCCGGCATTTAACGCTTACAGTATGCTGGATTTGAATGAGGAACTGAACTATAGTTAGGTCTTAAAACATCTAAATTTAGTAAAAACATTTGTGTGATCCTTTAACAATATTCCAACCATCCAATCAGATCGAAGTGACAAGTTTACAGTTTGTCAACACTCACAACTCAAAGGTTCTTTAGTTTTCATTTCATTTTGCATCAATAGTTCTGTGAAGAACCTTGAACATCCATGGAACCTTTCAAAAATGCAGAAAAGGTTCTTTATAGTCGAAAAAAGCTCTTTGTATTTTTAAAATGTTAAATGGTTCAAAATGGTTCTTTTAGGAACTGTTCACTGAAAGGTTCTTTTGGGAACCAAAAATGGTTCTTCTATGGCATCGCTGCAAAAACACCCTTTTGGAGCTTTTATTTCTGAATACATTTTTGAAGTTACAGCCGGGATTAGCACTAGGTGTTTCTACGTCTTTTTTTATTCACAAGTCACAGTTAGGTTTAGTGATATAACAGCATGTGTGTTTGGATCGATATGAGGGTGATTAATAGTTTTTGGTCTAACAGAATTTGGCAGTGTGTGAAGAAATGACATCTTGAGTGTTTCTGTAACTTCGGGGACGAGGTTTTTCTGCAGTGCCTTTAATTTCTCCAGAGTTCGAGATGCAGGGTCATTTTCAGCTCTGAAGAACTGCATTTCCAGCCATTTTTCCAGAGTTCAGTCACTTGTTCAGTGCTTTGACAGCGAGCGTCACGCCTTCATCTCCAGAAGAGCAGTGTGTTTGTTATTAACCCCTGACCTCCGCTGACCGCACCACTGCGCTGCTGACGAAGGACATCAGCGTCCTCTCCTTTTCTCCTTTCACGGTGATCCTGTGATGTGTTTTAGAAAGATGCTGTTGATTGGATGTGTTTTGTGCTTGTGTACTTTTGCTCCGGCTAACAGAATGAGGTCAGAATCTGGATCTCATACAGCATCTCTCTGCGCATCTTTCCCGTCTCTCGTTCATTCTGAAGGCTGCGATTCACACACGTCTGTGTTCCCTCTGAAACCGTGTGTGTTTGCATTTGTGTTGTTCACAGTGTCTGTCTCTGGTTGTGTTGATCTGAGTGCTGTGAGCAGTAAACCAACGGTCGGCACACAAAGGCTTCTTCAAACCCATTAAATACATGCACGGTTGCTTTGTGACAGCGTGAATGAAAGAAGACATTTTCCATCATTAGATAATGTCAGTGTTTAATAGTCACGATCCAGACACATCCGTCTCTTACCGCTGCAGCCGCTTTTGTTTCTTTCAATGAGCTCTTAATAATGATGTGAATGAATGATGGCTGTTTCTCTGGCGCATGCATGTATTCATGGGTTAAATGCATCTGTACAAATGTCATCTGTTTACAAGCTAATCTCTACTTATGTTTGCTGTCAGGGCTGGAGGCTCTTCATCTCCATTATAAGCACAGACGTCTTTAGTGTCTTCAGAAGCGGTTTGAGCTGCTCATGAGTGTTTCTGTCTCGTCTCACAGATCGGCGAGAGGCAGCGTGTGCTGGTCACGGAGGACTCCTTCGATTCGCAGTACTACGTCGCTCACAACAAGTTCTACGAGCAGGTACAAGCTGTCACTTTAGTGTCATTGTGATACTGTCATAGCTTTTATTAATATTGTTTAGTTAACTATAATAACCCTGCCTTTGAATTAGTAGTTATTTTCTGCTGAAGTGCAACAGTGATGTGGTTCGTGTTTGCTGACAGTCCAGTGATTTCAGTCCTACTAAAATAAAAAGCATTGATTTTACTCCAAACCTTTCCACGTTGAGTCAGAAAGATGTTAAATTGAGTTTCACTTTTAACTTTTAAATCTCACTGAGCACAACTACAAAAATGAGATGCATCTGAACAAAAATACTCACTTATGAATCATAAGCATTTTTATTTTTAGAAAAATAAATAAGTGCCTGTCTAATTGAGTTTTTAAGTTTAAATTTGAATAAAAAACAATAAATATATCATTTATTAAATAAATATATTGATCAAAAAATGCAAAGTTATTCTTTGAAATCCAGCTGGAAACACAAGGTCGTCCTGTAAGCACACTTCACGTCAATATAAAGTAAAATAAAAAAAAGTTTCGCTGCGTTGAGTTTCAAAGAGTCCGTGTGAAAATGCACTTCAGACATCTTCAGATATGTCCGTGAACACCTGTGCTGGAGATGTTTGCAGGCTTGTCTTCAGGCTAATGCTTCTCTATAAGTGTCACTTTTGTCTGGAGAATTTAGCGGTTTGATCGTAACGCCATATTTCTCAGTGTCAGAGAATTTACAAGGTACTTTTCAGTGTGTCTGGGGCTTGTAGGATCTGAAGCAACACGAGGCCGTGAGGAAAAGCATCCATGAAGTCCACACTGTGATTGTGAACAGAGCAGGGCTGTGGGGGAAAATGTTCATTGTAGCCTGTAGATCCATTAACACTGTAGATCCATACACACAGAACCTGAAAAACACAAGACACAGGCAGTGGAATTAGTGTGTGTTTACAGAGAAAAACAATGGAGAAATAGCACAGTGGAATGGAAAAACGCATTTTGTGTCTATGTCTAAGGTCTACAATATGAATATCTTGCAACATCTCGCAATTGCTTTTTTTCTCAGAATTCTAAATTTACATATCGCTTTTTTGTATGTGACTTTTTATCTAGCAATTTGGACTGTTTTTTTTTCTTTTGCAGTTGTGGCTTTATATCTCACAATTAAAAATTTTCCTCTTAGAATTGCAAATTGAATGTCTTGCAGTTCTGGATTTATATATAATCCACGGCGGAAACAAGTTTCCTAATGCGATGGCTGCGTGTGACGATCACCAGATTTTGCCTCTGATGTAGCTCTCAAATCATTTATTCCAAATGGGTAGACGAAGACGAATCAGTGCAGGTCGATGATTCTCACTAAGCTCATAACAGATTGCCAGCTCATAAGTATGAACGTGCAGTTGAGATTATGGTGAAGGGCAACATCTTCAGTGAATCTCACACAGAACTGCTATATGACTTGACGCATAGGTCTGTATGAAGGACCAAAGTCCATCACACAGGTTTGAAAGAGTGATCTATTCCTTTAAGGAAAACACTGATGTGCCTGATGTGTTTAGCAATGTTTCTGAATGTCTTCTGCATGGTTAGAAGTGATTGTTTTCCTTTCTAACTAGTCAATGGTCTGAAGTGAGACAGATGTTATCACAGTCACACATTCCTCTCAGGTTCAGGTTCTCCTCATGAGTCACAGAGGTCACCCGTCTCGCCCGCCACCATTGATCTTTCATTATAATGCCAGCAGAAAGCCATCTCCAGCGCCATTGATTGAGGACGGTGCCGTGCATTAAAGGATGGGAGCTCTAATCTGGGATGCAAGCCCTCTGTTTTCTTTTCCTGAGTTTGTTCTCCTGCTTTTGCTTCTTGATCTGCGGCCTCAAAGCTGGAGCGCTCTCCAGAGCGTTTGAGACGTGACTGACCATCCATCAGAGAGAGCCCAGCTTTACTCAGCGGATCACCATGAACATGGGGCCGATTAAGAGCTCAGCTCAGGCTGTTTGGAGCTTAAGCTGGTCTGCCTTTGAGCTGCCAGCGCCGTGTCAAAGACAGAACTGAAGACGGAGCCGCTCGGACTCGTCAGGGACTTACAGCAGTGAGCACGTTTAAGCGTAAACGAGTGAAAACATCTGCCAGTGTCATTAAAGGAATGGCTCACCCAAAAGTGAAAATTCTGTCTCACAGTTTCTTCTATCTGCTGAGCACAAAAGAAGATATTTTGAAATAAGTGTGTAACCAAACGGTTGTTGATCCCCCATTGACTTCAGTAGTATTTTTTTTTCCGTACTATGGAAGACAAAGGGGACCAGCAGTTCTTCAAAATATCTTCTTTTATGTTGAATGTAAGAATAAAGTTCATACATATTTTGAACAAATCGAGTTTTAATCAACTGGAAATCACTACAAGAATTAAGGATGTGTGATGCTTTTGTATACACAAAGTACACTTTTAAGACCTTCTTGTTGACAGCAATGATCTGTGTTCTTCAGATCTTATCTCATATAAATTATATGAGAGGAGCTGCTGCTGTTAAACACTTATCTAGACACAAAGATACTCTAGACCTCATTGGTTCACTCTTCTCATGTATTGCTCCATATGGGATTCAAACAACACTCTTTCAATGACCAGCCTCTTGGAGAGACATGTTACTCTCCACACTGTCATTTCATCTGCACTGTGTATAGTTAGTTGTATTAAGCAGCAGTTCTCCTGGTTAAATTCACCCAGTCAGTCGGTGGAGAGGCTCAGGGTTACTCTCTTCACTGCGTACTGCTCGTGTGTTCTTCAAGGACACGCTCACGGTCTCCAGCGCTGCCACAGATGTGTGCTTTCAGAGAGACGAGAGAGGTTCAAAGAAATGCTGCTGTGTCCTCTTCCACCGGCTCTGAAATGCCGTTCACTTTACAATGACAAGGAGATGGAGACACGATTCGCAATTTCCAGCAGAACGTGGACCACTCTTAATGGGTTTCCAGTGTGCAAGGACTCCTCTCAATAGAGGCGAGACAAAGACATATGAGCGCTTTATCTGTCCCTTAAAATGCTAGTGTTTGACCTTCAGGGTTTGTGTAATTGAATGAAAAAGTAAATGGGAATTCTGATATTAAAGTATTAAAATTCACGGCACACATCGGCCGCGGCAGAGCTGGAGGAAGAGGAAAACACATTTATTTCCCAGCCTAATTGAAAACGTATTCGACAGATCCTCTGATATGTCTGAGTTTTGATGAATCATAATGCGCTTTAAGCTTTCTGCCGAGCCTTTCATGTCTGGGGAAGGTTCTGAACTTATCTGCCGCTCAACGTAATGAAGGCAATTTCAATGTAAACCCCTATAGATCCAAGCGCACAGCTTTTAATCCAATTCAGCCTCCACGCCTGGACTGATTCATCTCCCCTCAGACCTCATGCAGATCTGAAGGACTCGTCGCTCTGGGTCTCAGTGGAAAGTCTCAGATGCTCTGGGATAAGAGGAGCAAACCGGCATCAAGAACATGACAGCACACGCCGAGAAACAAGATGCTTGTTTGTTTGTTTTGTTTTTTCAAACGATAACAACACTGATCAACACTTACAAGCTCATTGCTGCTTTTGTGTAAATGCAGAACTTGCCCTGAAGAGCGTGTGAGAATCTTTAATGAGCGGTTTAATGTGTGCAGTGAAAGCAGTGCAAGGCGTTTGAAAGCGATGGCCAATGCCACGACTCTGATGTGTCAAGAGCTATTGATCTCCAGCATTTATGCTGTAGATCCCCTTTCCATTTATGAGCTGTTTTTAATTTTAGTGATTGATGTAAACGGACGATATAACGAAGTTGGTAAAAACAGGACTTTGACAAACTGGTTGATATGGGGTTCAAAGCATAGCGTAGAATCGAATATTACACCAAGATTACGTACAGTGGGGGAAGGATGTACTATAACCCTGTCAATATTAATAGAAAAGTCAAGATGAGGGGAGACAAAGGATTTTGGGCCAACTAACAGAATCTTAGTTTTTTTCATTATTCCATTTTGAGAAATTTTGAGCCATCCATACTTTAAGATCATGTAGGCAAGATGTTAAAGAAGTAGGAGGAAAAACAGAGATGGGCTGTTCGGAAAAATTAATTTGCGTATCATCAGCATAAATGTGGAAATTTAGACCATGACATTTGACCCAGAGGAAGCATGTAGATTAAGAAAAGAAGTGGACCAAGAACAGATCCTTGAGGCACTCCACGAGTATTAAAGAAACAAGTATTGAATAGTAATACAATTATTTTATAGTGCACCTAAGAAATACATTACTAATATTTGTTTTATTTGTATTTATTTATTTTTAATGAATTATCCATTTCTATCCTAAAACCAACAAGCTTTTATTTTGGCAGGTACCGGTAGGTAAATATAGGCCCATGCTGTGTGGGGTTTTAAAGTGCTTCAGTAAATGAAGTTTCACAGTTTTGCATTTTGCTCTGAAACAGGCAGTGCATAGCCTAGATTTATGCTCTCAGTTCGATCTTATTCAGTATTACAGTTTGTCGATCTAAAGAAGTGATTGTGCATTAACAGCTGTCAACCATGTCAGTACGCAAATGAGCACTCTGAACATATTTACCCAGCGCATTTCTTATTTTGGACGTGTATGCGCACCTGTGTACCACTTATGTGCATCCTTGTATATAATGCTTATTATATAATATTCTCTTTCATGCGTCTGCAGGTTCTGGTACCCAAGAAGCCAGAGTTCAAAGGGAAGATGATCGAGGTGGACATATACGAGGCTGGGAAGCACTACATGAAGGGCCGGCCGGTGGAGGACGCGCGGGTCTTCACTCCCTCCATCGCTCAGCCTCTTCAGAAGGGACAGGTGTCTGGACTCCCTCAGGTCAGTCTGCTGGACCATCTCAACATGAACGCTTCACATTAGCTCGCTCTACACACTGAACATGGCAGAAAAGTCACAATGGGGGACTGTGGAGAAACTTTGGAAAAGTCGCCCTCTCATCATAGCTGTGTCATTGTAGACTTCATTTCCAGAGTAGTTTTGAGGTGTTTAGAGGCTCCATGGGTTCAGATTCAGTCCGACAGCTTGAATGTGTTATAGTAGTGGCGGGGTCCTTAAGAGATGAGCAGAAGCTGGCGGAGGGGACAGTCAGTCGTGGCCAGCTGACCGCTGCGCTTCCAGACCGTCTGTCTGTAGCAAACGCTGTGCCTGTCTGCGTCTGAAGAGATGGACAAGACAGATTGGAGGCCGTTTCCTCCGGCACAGCGTCCAGACTTCACATTCTGTTTGCAGCCTGTTTTACTTTTGGACGAGAGTGTGAAATTCAGAGTGTGTTCACAGGTTAACTGATAATATGTGAAACCACCAAACACAAGAATCAGCTATTATAGTATGAGAAAACCAGATCTATGGTACTTTCTTTAAATCATATATATAAACGTCATATATATATATACAGTGGGTACGGAAAGTATTCAGATCCCCTTACGTCATCCCTGCTAAATGGAAAAATAATTGTATTTTTATCTCTGAATTTTTACATCATCTGATTGCTGTGAGACTTACCATCTCATCTTGAGGTCTTGTTCTGCTTATGCTGGTAGCTGTTGTTTTAGAACATAATAGCTGGTTTAAGCAGGTTGTTAGTTGGTTAAGTACAGACTGACCATCCACCATCCTTCAAAGTGGTCATTCTGTCATCATTTACTCACTCTAATGTTGTTCCAATTCTGTTTAAAAAGCCCCAAAAAGAGCATTAAAGAATAAAACTAGAGTGGTTTAATCCTAGTCTTCTGAAGCGAAACGATCACTTTATATGACAAACACAGGAAAACTGAAGTGATTATTTAACCAAACACCAAACCAGATTCCCGCTCAAATCCATTATGACGACATACCAGGCCCTTTCTTTCAGAACATGCAACACAACTCCTTGTTCAAGCTCTTGTTCTGTCCAGGCTGGACTATTGCAATGCGTATTATTGTGCCATCTCAAAGAGGCACAAAATCACTTTCACAGACTTTTACATTAACTGTTCCCTCCTGATGGAATGACCTGCCCAACTCAATCCCAGCAGCTGAGTCCTTAACCATCTTCAAGAAACAACTAAAAACACATCTGTTCCACCTTTATTTGACCCTCTAACTCTAGCACTCTAGCACTGTATTAGGCTAACCGAGACTTGTCATTTGCATTTATATATGGTTGCTCTTTTGTTAGTTTTGACTGCTTTTATTGTCCTCATTTGTAAGTCGCTTTGGATAAAAGCATCTGCTAAATGACTAAATAAAAAATAAATAAATAAATATCAGTAACATCAAACTAACTGGTTACTGATGTGTCATCATTTTGGATTTGGGCGTGAGTATAGATGGATTGATCATTATTTTAGTTTGGTTTGAAGAAAGAAGATCATTTGGGTTAGCTATTCCTTTAAGCAGGGACGGGCAGCTGGTTTGTTGGCAGGACAAGACCACTGATCACAGATACCTCAAGCATAAGGTGCCAGTGTCTTCAGGATGTCTTGCAGTAACTCCATGGCAGCGTCTTGCAGGAATGCTGTTTTACTCAAATGGACAGGCTGGTTATTGGACTGTTTTGGTCTGGATGTCTAGTTTTGTAAGTTTGTGACTTGAGAAATCTTGTGGGAGATCTTATGTGTTGTAGGGTAAAGATCTAGTTTTACTTACTCTTTGACCAATTTGTTGTCAAATGAGGGAGCTAGACGATACTTATGAACTGTATAATGAAGTCCAAGTGCGTCTGAGAGGGGAATGGTGTGAGCGAGAGCTTCTGTCACTCTAATTGGCTCCACACACGCTACTCTGTCATTGCCTGGAGCTCTTGAGTGTTAACTAGTGAACTCAGTCCCACCTAAAGACAGCAGATCACTGCTACAGTTCTTACAGAGCTCATTCCACACCATTAGAGGCCTCCATAAAACTACAGTCCTGCTGCTGTATGCTGATGAACAGAGGTACCGACTGGATGACTTCAGCAGTCCTGAGAAGACGGATCCTTGTGCTTCTCACACAAAGACGACACGCATCAAAAAGAGTTGCTTCTTGCAGCTTGTTGTTTACATTCAGACAAATCTTTATTCTTTTTTTTTCTTTCAGAAAAGCCTCTGTTAGACTGCTGGATGACCGTGACTGCTTACCTCTCTCTCTCTCTCTCTCTCTCTCTCTCTCTCTCTCTCTCTCTGGTTTTATGGTCTGCCAGGGCAGCAGTAAAATCTGATGGGGTGTGAAATTAAAGTGTGTATCACATTTTGAAGCATCATTTGATGTCCTCTGTGTGGACGAGGTTTCTCTCCCCGCTAGAAAAATAACACCGCAGTCACAGATTAGCACAGAATGACAAATAGAGAACGTTAAAGCAGTCCGATCACTGCTAGATCACTCATGGAGGACACACAATAATACACACACACCCGTCATTCACAACACACACAAGACACTTACACAAACCAGTAATGATTATTTCTTGTTAATGATATAGATTCCCATTAAAAAAGTTTGGGCTCATTAAGAGGGTCAGTGTCAATAAATTACATTTTAACATATTCACAGCTTTTTTAAATTGTTAAAATGTTTCAGTTTTTACTGTATTTTTGATCAAATAAATGCAGCCTTGGTGAGCAGCAGATACTTCTTTTTAAACATTAATTATTCTACATGTTTGAACTGTAGTGAATATAAAATTCCGTCATTTATTCTCCTCATTTTGTTCTAAAGCTATATGACTAAAGCCTGGTTCAGACTACATGATTTTAGCCTGATTTTGGCACGATCTGCTTGAAGTAGGGTGTCGTGGGGATTCGTAAACGACAGTGGGCATCAGGATTTACAAGAGGAGGAAATGTTCGTGGAGCTTTTGCAATAATGCTCCTGCATGTGTGGATGTTTCCTCGAGGGACTACCGTGACAGTGAAAAGGGGTCTCAGGCTCAGTTCACAAAATCACATAATCTGACACAGTGACTGTCGTAATCGACAAAAATAATTGTGTAGTCTAAACCGGGCCTAAGTCATTATTCACAGAAAATCTTCCCGTCTGTGTCAGTTCTCAAATCTAATTCATATGTACACATATAACACAAATGAGACAGACCAGAGACAATGATGTCTGCTGCCATTAATGTTAAACATGATGCTGAAAGTTTTTAGGCAATATATATTTTTCATTCTTTATTTGATTTCCATGGTTGTTCATTGACAATAAAGTCCAAAAAGCCTCCCAGAAACTCTTGTGGAAACCTGCTGTGCTCCACAGCGGAGCTTCTCAAGTGTTTCCGGTTCTGTAAATGCGTTGTGACATGTTCTTTTCCAGTGCCCACGGTCATTTTATTCCATTTTCACTTGCTTGTCAAAAGCTCTCATTGCTTTAAAGAGAGCAGACCGCCTGCTGCCACAGATACATGATCTGAGAGAAAGCGAGCAGATGAATGCAGCTTTGACTGCTGATTTATGAAGTTGTGGAAGCGGCTGACAGGAGGAGGAGCAGAGCGGAGCGCTGCAGGTGTGTGCTTGTGTCTTCACTCGCTGACCCCAGACCTGCTCAGGGGAGGAGAGACTCTGGAGCTGCTCTCAGATCTCGGAACATCCCACAGAGACGCTCTTCTGAACCTGTAGATGACACGCTGAAGTGAAGGTCCTCAGTTACTTCTCAACCTGTGTGACTGTCCTTCAGTGGAGCACAGAAGTGAGTGAGTGAGTGAGTGAGTGAGTGAGTGAGTGAGTGAGTGAGTGAGTGTGTGAGTGTGTGTGTGTGTGTGTGTGTGTGTGTGTGTGTGTGTGGGAAGGACTAATTGGAAGATTCCCCAGAGAGAGTGTATGGATAAGTTTATGAGATGATTAGGTCTTATAACACAAGCGTGTGTATTCAGTGCCTCATGACTGAAACTGCTTCAGGCACTGGAGAGAAACCATGAGTGAGAGATTCAGAGAGTTCAGTGCTGAATGACACACTGCTGTGTGAGTGTGTGTGTGTGTGTGTGTGTGTGTGTGTGTGTGAGTGTGTGTGTGTGTGTGTGTGTACACTGAGAAACAGCAGCCGCGTGTTTGTGCAGCTGTCTGTGATGGTGTGCTGTGACTGTGCTAATGATGTGGAGCGCTGCAGATCTTGGACTTTCTTCTGATTGTCTGTGTTTGTGTGAGAGGATCTTAGATGTTTCTGTGTTTGTTTGTGCTTATTAAGGGCTAATTACAATTGCTAGTGTTAATTGATGGGTCAGGAAGGACTAATTGGAAGATTCCCCAGAGAGAGTGTATGAATAAGTTTATGAGATGATTAGGTCTTATAACACAAGCGTGTGTATTCAGTGCCTCATGACTGAAACTGCTTCAGGCACTGGAGAGAAACCATGAGTGAGAGATTCAGAGAGGTCAGTGCTGAATGACACACTGCTGTGTGTGAGTGTGTGTGTGTTCAGAGCCTCGGTGAGTGTGAGTGTGAGTGTGAGTGTGAGTGTGAGTGTGAGTGTGAGTGTGAGTGTGAGTGTGTGTGTGTGTGTGTGTGTGTGAGTGTGTGTGTGTGTGTGTGTGTGTGTGCGTGCGTTTCCTTAGTTAGCGATTGCTGGACCTTTACACCATCTGGAGAGCCGTTGGCCAGGTATTCCCTGCCGACAGACACTGGCTGTTTCTGTGATGGATGTGGACACGTCCTCTGTCTCTGGCTTCACCCGTCTTGTCCAACACACATCACATTTAGAAGAGTGAAGGAGAAACATGACGTGATGGTAGTGCAAGTTGTTTTGAGCTGATGTGATGTTATTCACCATCTTCTGAGTGACTTCAGCCATTTTCTCAAAGAACATATTGCTGATTTCTGCAGATGTTAGTTATGCGCTCGTGCGAACGACAGCAGCTATATTTATGTCT